CACAAAATATATTTATACATAGGAGTATACACACTTATCTAAATGAATTGTATTTTGTACAATAATTGTTGTCACTGAGTGCACTAGAACAAATCAGTTGGCATTGCGTATACGCCGTGTCATCTCATACACAAAACTAATTCAGCGTGTAATGCAAGCAAAACCCGTTATGTATACAATTCAATGGAAATAAATTTTCTGTTAAAATATATTTGTGTTGTTTTGTTGCAGCGAAAATTGATATGTGATATTAATCATTTAAAATGTGACACAAAAAACAGGCGAGCGTAAAAGCCATGAAAAAGATTTATTGTAAATGTGTATTACTATCTAATTGTTCAATTAAAAGTTTGTGACATGTTAATGTGACGGCTGATAACCTGCCACACAGCAACACTGCCGTAGATTTGATTAAATGATAACGGTTGATGGCTGTCAACTACAGTTTAGCACAGTTATGTGACCCACATGCACTCATGGCGCAATATATACTCTATATATGCATTTGGTTATGAAATCAATATAAATGTGAAAATAAATGTGTGCATATATAAAACTACCAACACACAAACATATATCCGTGTTTGTTGATGAATGTGTCTAATTCAATTAAAAAGTCATTTATTTTCCACGGTCGCTGCTGTCTACGATTACGAATCACGTCCCTGCATGCTGACAATCTTCCTTTACACTATTCGCTGTCAACAAAAATCCGTTAACACACACACATAGAATAATATTATTGCTAAAATATTGATTTATAATCATTGCTATGGAAAATGTCGCATTATAAGCACATACTCACATTTGATTGACATGTCAGTATGTATGTATATTAGAGTGTCCGTTACCGCCCAGGTTTAGGTAAAGGCTCAACGTAAGCAAGCTATTTATCTGCACTATAAACTTTGCCAAAATCATATTTCTTGTCCCATGTATTGTATATAACATGGATGTTTTGATATTTTACATTAAGCAAGCAAGCCTAACCTTTTGAAAAGCAATATTCTAGTACACAATATTTTGCCCAAAAAAATGTCCTAATGATTTTTTCTATAAAAGCTCTCCTTTATTATTTATACGCAGTTAAATTTATACATCAAAAGTGCTAAGCGTTCATTCAAGCGATTTATACATTTGGTGTTACTCATACGACATGGTGTACTATGTGTATACCGTACAATTAATGCAATAAATTAACTGCGAATAACTTTTAAAGGAATGTTTTTATTGTATGAAAAAATGTATAAACTCCTTATTTGCGGGGATGAAGTTTTATATTAGATGATCACTTTTTGAAAATTGTAGATTTATATACTTTCAAGATAAAAAATTAATTGAAAAGATACAATTGTTCCATGTAAAATATATGAGAAAATTTAAATGGCTTAGGCATGGTTTAAATTAAAAATAAATAACTTATTTACCTTGATTCTTTGTTTTTATGGCAAATCTGAAACTTCCGGAGGCATTTGCAACAAAAAATCAACTTGAGTACTAACGGACACCCTAGTATGCATATGCAAATGGATATACTTGTGTGGCATGAATATGCTATGTTGACATGTATGTATATGACAACGTGTATGTTTGTAAATCAGTTCGTTTCAAGTAAATCCATTGTGAGTCGTTAAATCAGCAACTAAAGTCAAACGCATGAATAAATATTAATAACAATTATAGATTTCATGTAAATTTTTATACTCTCGCAACATGTTGCTGCAGAGTATAACAGTTTTATACACCCAACGGTTGTTTGTAATATCTAAAAGTAATCGATATATATATTATATATATGTATATAAATGATCACTCTGATGAGACGAGTTGAAATCCAGATGACTGTCTCTATGGCCGCCCGTTCGTCCGTCTGTGCAAGCTATAACTTGAGTAAAACTTGACTTGCACATGAGAGAGGTTAGTATTGCATATGTGCGGTGTCGAGCCATTATCACGCCCACAAAACTATAATATATTAAACGAAAATCTATATAGTGTCATAACTAAGCCACAAATTAGGATACGAAAATGTGTGGTAGTACAGGACAGCGGAGAATGAATGAGAAACAGTCGTTTAAAAAAAAAGTGGACATGGCCCCACCTTCTAATTGGTTTAATATGCATATCTCACAAAATACTAAAGCTACTTCAATCAAACTTGCTGTGGAAGAGTATTTTTAGCACTGAATCAAACACTGAGATAATATGTGAAATCAAGACTATTTACGATTTGAAATCAAGACTATGCTATCTCACGTCCAAGAATAGGACCATAACTTGTCAAGCCATCAGATATCTAATATAATTTAAAGGTTTACGAATTTATAGATCAATCTTTGTGGTACCGTAACTAAAGTCAAAGAGCATATTTTTTCATTCTATTAATATTATTTGGCAATGCCAAAAATAAACAAAATCGGGTCGGTACTAGACCTATATCCCATATACCCGATATACGAGGTTTGTTCAAAAAGTATCGCGAATTTTGTATTTCTTAAGAATATTTTTATTTATTCATGAATATTTATTTTGTTTCCCTCAAATTAATCACCCGTATATATAGCAGTCACACCTTTATATATTACCTCTTTATAGTCGCATTCTCTTAAGATCTCTGATCAGAAAAAAGCCTATCTAGCGCACGATTATAGAGTTTTCTTTATAAAATTGGCCGTAGCAACCTCTTTTAAACATCCACTGGGTACATCGTCATCAGTTCTCATATGCCCTATATGAAGTTTAGCAAACTAAACAGGTTATACTAAGTTTGCCACGAAGTTTGTAACACCCAGAAGGAAACATCGGATACACTATAAAGTATATATATAAATAATCAGCATGACGAGCTGAGTGATTCAGCTATGTCCGTCTGCCCATCCGTCTTTATATACATGAGCTATTCCCTCAGTTTTTATGATATGAACCGGAAATTTTTCACATGACTTTGCGTGTCGCAACAATGAATTCTGTTACAATTTCATTTTTAACGCACATTAAATTTCAAGTATTGTTTGTAAAAATAACACGTTGAAGTGGAAATAAGCTGTGATGTCGTGCGTTTTATTTTGGTGAGTTAGAAATTTTTTGATTAGTTTCAAGTGCGTTATGGGAAGGGAGGGAAATAAGAAGGTAAGGGAAATAGGAAGTGAACAATGCATAGGTGAACACGTGGCCACATATGACAACAAATTCAGATTGGCCGATTTGATTCGATTGTTCATTCAAGTCAGAATTATGCCAAAACCAGAAACACAACAAATGATTTTGGACGAGAATGTATAATAACATTTTTTTAATTATTTTTGTAAATTGTTTTTTACAACTTTCTTCAGAGTTTGTTCACATTCACCATAGCAATGGTAATAAATGGTTTTTTGGTCGAATTTCGACCGCTGGCTACCTTAATTATAGGAAACGTATTTGCGAAAGGTGTTAATGCTTAGGTGCATCCGAAGTTATGAATTAAGATGGCTAGGATTTCAGTAAATGATTGTTTTGTTGATGATGTTACAAGGTATGATGTACGATCTGCTGATCTTCTTGTGGATGAAAGAATCCTCTACAAGAGTCAACTAAAGTGGTTGGATAATTTAAAGGCCAGTAAAAAACACTTTTTTGAATTTTCATTTTTAGAATAAAAAACACTTTCGAAAATTCATACAAAAAATATATTTTAGTATATATTTATTCCTTTTTTAAGCTATTGCATAGCTTCTATCGTGGACTTTAAACGAAGGGACGGAATCAAGAGATTCGGTAACGGAAATAAACCTAACATGCTTGCATACTCTAAGGCGTAGTCTCGCATATCTCAAACGGAATAAATTAATTGAAAAGACAGCAGGGTGATTCAAGCATAATAATATTTAAGATACAATTTTTTTAATGGAAAATAAAAATTTGGAAAAATGGTTTAATTAAAAATAAATTATTTAATATTCGGAGTCATAATAATAGTAAGATTGTTATTATTTTGATAATTAGCTACCCCACATTTTGGAACTTTCTCGTTTGACTTGAATACAATTAAAATTAGGTATTTAAATCGTGTTATCAATGGTAATGAATTTCCACTTATCTTGACTGGCGATTTCAACAACAACTTCGCTGATAAAAAATCAGAGCGGTTGACAACTTTTCTTTCGGAAAAATTGAATTTGAAAATTAATTATATATATATAATATATATTAATATATATATTATTATCGGTCACCACGCTCAAAAAGTGTATAATATCAAAGAAAAAGAAAATATTGCATAAGAAATAAATAAATAATTATAAATGCATAAGTTGATAAAAAATGCTTTGCAATAGCTTTACCGCGACAGTCCCCGAGTGTCACAAGTACATTTTTTTTTTAATGTTTGAGCCCTTCAAAAATGTTGAAAAATGGCGTTCAGTGGAACGTGTCGCAGCTGATACCGGACATTGGAATGCAAAGTAATGTCCGTGATTCTTATTTGTAATAGTGTATATAAATATTTTTTTAATTTGTATACTGTTTCTCCCGATTTTTAACGTAAAAAAAAATCAAAATAATTATCAATATCTTTGGTTCACATAAAACAGTTTTAAGTACTTTACAAAATATAAGTTGAATCAGATTGATAGCGGAGATAGTTTTCACGCAATCATACACGCCAATTGTAAAAACATGGCTTTCAGAAAACGTGGTTAAAAGTTTTGGTAAGCGATTGTTACGTCGTCGACGTGCTGTCTTTTATCTGAAATATCTCTTGAACCACTTCGAAACGAATGCTTATATTTTACACATTCGTTCTTAGATACTTTTAGAAGAGATTCAGTTAAAAATAAAAAAGTATAGTTTTTCGAATTAAATGATCCGACCCTTTTGAAATAATAAAAATTCAAAATAGAATAATTACTTTAAACAAGAAAATAAAATTACACGCGTATATTGAACATATTTCACCACGTACAATTAACAAGTTGTCATCATTTCTCTCTTTCTCTTTTTGCCTCCTCATTTCCTTGCAGTAAACAAAATGTCACCACGTCCCTCGTTGGCGCCCACCGAAGACGGCAGCTATGCTGGAGCGTATCAGCAACAGGCCCAGGACGCATATGCCGCCACTCAGAACAATAACAATAACAACAATACGACAGGCGGCAGCACCGCAAGCAACTCATCGAAAAACGAACCGGGGCGACGAGCGGGGGCGTGCCGCGTGTGTTTGAAATCCTTCAAACCTGACGACTATCACAAAACCTGCTTCGAGTGTCAACAACGGGTGTGCGAAGATTGTGCCAGCTACAGCAAGCTGGAAGAGAGTGAGGATGCGGTAAGTGCAGGGATTAAAGAAAAGGCAGAGTGCCGAGTAGTGTGAGATGTGGTGAAAATGGTTGGTTGAGCGTGTAAGGCCTTAGGTGAGATCAAAAGCAATGCAAAAGTATACACTCGTAAGTGGTGTTTGTGGTGTGTTTGGTCGAGCATCAAGTGTTGCTGATTGCAATTGAATTGCAATGCAAATGGGCATAATAAATTTAATTTCTTGTAATGAAAAACGATTGCCAAAGAGGCAGTTAATATTAAGAGGAATTAGAATTGCATAAAAGATGTGCTAAGCGTATTATATGGAAGACTGAGAGTAATAGAGTGGCAATGCAACGTGAATGACAGTGGGTTTTGATGCGTTTGATCTCCACATATATCGCTCTAACCACTTGAAGTCGTGCTTTAGTTCTAAGCAATACTGCAAACAATGATTTTGCATTTTATTAAAGGCGAAATAATAAAACCAGATACTCCAGTACGGATTGGTACATGGATATTACGGAGGTTACTTCATCCATAAGATATTACGTTTCCCTTACTTTTTATCACTTCACCGAACCTCACTTTGTCCTGACTACATAGGTATATAGAGTATGCAATTTTCGGAGATTAAGTGTTATTAATATTTCACGTAAAATTTTATTATCATTTTAAATGAATCTTATTCATTATCACAAGTTTTAAGGGGTTAGGGGTAGTCAGAGGCACGAAAAACTTAGAATTTACAGTAATTATTTTTTTACCATAAACTCATGTTATTTTACAAAGGTAGTAATAAGGCATTATTATAAAATGTTTTGACTTGAAGTCACGAAAATTAAAAAAAAAAATTTAATTTTAAAAGTTATAGCTGTCTGTGTTGACCCAGTTCCAATAAAAGGTCCTTGCGATGACAATAATAAGACCTTGGAGATTTATCTAAAATTAATCGGATGAAAAAAAATCGGCCTCAGGAAAATTTTTTCTAAATTTTTGGGAAAAAATCAACAGATAATTTTTCTTAAAAAATTGAAATTTTTGATCCTTCGATGAGGCCCGAGTTTATTATGTATTCTAAACGCTGTATAAATTTCATTAAAATCTACTGAGCGGTTTTCGAGTTACAGTTGTCACCAGTTCGAAAAACATAGTTTTGAGAAAAACGCATTTAAAGTTTCTTGCTGCTGCCGCTAGCTACCTGCTTCCGAGCGCTCTTGGTTATAACTCAAGAAGTAATTATCGGATCACTTGAAATTTTCAAAGAATATTCTCAAAGTATTACACTTAACAGAAATGCAAAAAAAAAGCAAATTGATTTTTTGAACATTCTGATTAACCCCTTAACGTGTATATATTCTCAACCAATCCAGCTATAATAACCTAACGTCCTAAGGACGAATCTTTTTGGCGCCCCATCGAAAGTGGGAAAAATGAAAAATATCAAAATGTCGTTCGTGCGGATGCACCACGTCCTGGAAAGTCTCTTGAAGCCAATAAAATAAAGCCATTGGTCGATGGAAATCGTCGAAAAAGAACTCGTATTTAAATTGCACAAAAGAAAAACGAAATTACTTAGTGAACGACCCAATAAAATACTATATGTACATGGTCAATATCCTTATACATGATTTCATATGTCACCTCACGGTATAAAGGAAAAAAGGAATTTCTAAATTATTTAGATTTAAGGTATGACAGCTTATAGTCTAAACTTCTGATGACTCTATTAAATATTGTTCTAGGGAAACATAGGTCTGACTAGTGAGGAGCAAACATACATATTTGTATATTTTCTAGCACGCTTCCTTGGCATAATTGCCAGCTTATGCTGGGCTCTTTTAAATCGAGAAGGCTTAACGAATGCCACTCTCTCACTTTAAATAAAGAATATAATAATTTTGAAAATCCACAAGTGGAGAAAAGACAATTTTGCAATTAACAGTGTTTTGGCCATTATGGGAATAAACATATTTGCCAACTTTATTCTCATGCCTGTCTGTTGCCTTTTAAAATAAGAAGAGCATTTAATAACAAAATTCACCACGAAATTCTTATCGTCAATATTGCTGATTGAAATTCCCAAAAAGCAGTGGTTAAAATATTTTTGCCAAATTTCATAAGTTTTTGTTGCTTTTCTCTTCATTGACCGAAGCTTTGTGGTAGACCACTCGGAATTTCATTGTAGAATCTATAATGTTGTACAACAAATTTTTAACAACAATCTCCAACAACCAAAATTTGTATCTCAAAAGTGTTAAGCCCTTTTTTTCTTGTTTTGTTGAACAAACACAAACATACATGAAACGTATAAATATATATCGATATACACATATATATACCTATATACAAAAAAGTATGTTTTTTAACTTGGTAAGCTGGAAAATTGTTTGATAGACACCTCTTGGAAAGGCTCTTTAAGTATGAACTCTTAATTTTAACGGGCAGGTTCTCCGACTAACGGTTTTACATTTTTTTCTTATTATCAGACAGAAAATATCAGTCATATCTCGCTTTCAACTACTTAACACCTATTTCATTCTGTGGTTTTTGTAGAAAATTGAATGTTCTACATAAGGTCTTTTACGGTTTTTTCGTAAATTTAACTATTTAAAAGGTATTAACGGTTGAAGTTTGATTATTTTAAAGCAAGTTTTTTTTTTGAACTTTGTAACTCAATGAAAAACATCTTTTAAATTGCAAAGCTCACTGTGTTAACGGAAATTTTATGCTCTATAAAAATGGTCTCTTTTTTGTATATTTTTTTTTTTTTTGTTTTCCTTTGATAGGTATTGATGTTGGACGTTAAATATCTCGTAAATGCCTAACTTAATCGAAAAGTTATTTGAGACTATTTATATTTTTTTATAAAAAAGAAGTTACCGATAATAATGCCGTAGTAACTCCGATTTTGAACTCTACTTTTATCATCATCACTTCAAACAAGTTGCTCATCAGTCTTTTAACCACGAGTCTTGCTTCATTATCTTTTTAATCGATGTTCCTCAGTTTGCGTAGCCTTATGAATACTGAACCGATATTTAAGATGTAGGCAAAAATAGTTTCTTTACTGTAATCAATATCTATTTCGAAGCAAACATTTTAGTATAATAAAGTAATATATGTATTAACAGTATATATACCTAACTATTACAAAACACGCCTACGCAATCAAATAACTCAATTATTAGAATTTCAGTAAAATTTAATTAAATAGAATTACAAATAACAGAGAATAGCATACATACAGTTATACATTTCCTACTGCATATTATGTTTCAATCATGATATATTGCCTTTAATGCGAAAATCAGCATGTGTTGCCACAAAACACACACCAAACCCGAAAAATATTAGCAATTTCCAATATTGCGTTATGTTAAATGTTGCAACAACAAACGGTATTCCCATTAAGCTAAACTTATGTGCTCGGTTACCGCCTACAATTAATATTAGTCGCCAGCAAGCAGTGAATGCGTATTGGAACCTATGCAGAGAAAAGAGCTGCCGGAGCTTGGCGAGCAAAAAATTTGTCTGAAATTGCCGAAAACAGCAAAAGCATTTAAACGGATGATTAGTCGAACAAACAAATCTATTCAAAGCACAAACAAAGTGATATATACACGCACAAAAAAACCTGCAAAGCCACAAGCGGCGAGAATGGTCAGCAGTGAGAAAAGAGTACTGGCTAAGAGGATGATGGAAAACCGAAGATTATGATGGGCGAAATTGTGCAGCAAATGGAGCTCATTACTCTCATTCTGTGTAATTACAAGCCACACATCATATTCAGCATATTCATCGCAAAATATAGAGATCAACGGTAGAATGGGACGATGACATGGAATGTGCGTTTAAAAATGAACAAATGTGTTAGTTTATAGAGTGAAAAAGCTAACCTCATAAGTAGATCAATATGGCGCGGAAACACGCCCACTTTTAAACCACTTTCAATCCAAGGAACATATGGAGTAAGTTTTACCGAGATATCTCAATTTTTATTCAAGCTATCGCTTACACAAACAGATGGACGGACAGATAGTCACCTAGATTTCAATTCCCTTTAAATTTGGCTTCACACTACTTTCATCTATTATCGGAACTAAAATAACCAGTCCACAAGAAACTTCAAGAGACAAATCAAGCTATATATTTAATAATATGCGGTTGTGGTACTAAAGCGTATTCCGTACAAGATCTATAAGAAATGCAAACAGTATTGAATCAACCGTTCACAAGTTTATATATTGTAGAATCGCAATGTGTCAGAGAATATAAGATACTTCACTATAAATAATTTCTGCATGAGAATATGGCGAGAATCGGCTATTGGAAGGAGTGAGCTTAAAGTTCGATTTCAAAGCTCAGCTGAGTTGTTGGGACAATAGATTACCTTTTTTGAAAGGTCAAGAGATATAGTAGGGTTTGGTGAGCATTTACTTTAAGGAGTTGTATCCCCTTAAGAAAATCAAACATTAGACTTTTGTTTTTGCATGTAGATCAAAAATACATATATTTGGAAATGCTCTTAAAAATTAGCTTAACATAGAAATCGGTTCCCAAAACTGTAAATGTGTCGAAACACTGTTTTCAAAGTAGGCAGGGAAAATTTCACCTTAATGCCTTTTCACACAACTTTTTTAGTTATAATTATCAGATAGCGATTTTTGATAATAAAATATTTCTTTTAGAACGAGCCTAAGAACGGTTTCACTGTGCAGCAAAGCCTAAGTGTCTATCAAGTTAACCAGCTGCGAAATGTGTTGTGCTCGTAAAAATGGTCAGAACCTTAAGCTCATATGAATAGACATAGTTTTGTAAATGCCTGTGTAAGACCCAAAAGAGAGGCATAGTGAGCAACCACTTAGCAAGCTACCATATAGATAGCTGCTTTTACCTAACTACTTCTGCTCAAAAATATGAGACCGTTACTGTAGCAATAAGTCCAAAGCAAACGCACAACTACTCATTTACTCAAAAAGGCGACAAATTCATAAAACGAGAATGAAATATGTATGAAGGGATGTTATT